TCTATTTTCATCATAAGATATGCTATTGCATTTTTATATCGCCTTCTCGCTAATTACAGCTCAGCCAGAAACGAAAATATGCTCCGATAGGCCTACATTTTATATGTCTGTTGGTGTGATTTGTGTTTTTCGTTTATTGAAGTATTACCATATAACAGGACTCTTTTATTTCAATATACACAAAAACAACAACACCTTCGGAATGATTTCAGACATATACTGCGGGAAAACACGAGTGATCTCCCTTACATTTAGACATGCGCACATTTTACTTTCGTTTTGTGTAGGCCTAGACATCATTCGCAACGCGAAGCGGAAAAGACGAAAATGCAGGCGAGTGTTGACTTAATGTTAGGCATGTTGTTTAAGCAGCATTGACAATGAACAATATACATACACTTCTGCAACGTTTACCTACTACTGATTCATAAATAAGGCTATGTATCCCGATTTCGGTGACTTGTGGCCAAGCATGCGGCCGAAGCCGCAGAGAATGGCGCATGTTGTCAGCGGCGATGACAAAAAGGAAGGTGCTTCTACGGTATGTATAGCAGTTATTATGCAAAAACAAACATAATAAACGGACGTTTTACTCTAGTGAATTACAGCGTCACGAGGAACGTCTTTCTCCAGACGTGTTGCAAAATTTTCGAACTGCTTAGTTGCAAACTGATTTCACTTAAGCGTTGTTTGTGAGGATATTTGGCCTTACATTTCTTCTCATTCAGTTAAAAAAAAACATGTTATAAACATTGTATTATTAGATTCATTGTGATGTTGGCTTTCATTGAAGTTTCAATTGTTATACTACTTGATGTTTTGGAAACTTAAACAAGTATAGTAGTTCTAAATATTATGAAATGACAGAAACATTAGGCCAAACAAATTACTTGTGTTTCTACTATCAGAAAAAAATAGGGTAGGTATGTATTAGCTAGGCATTTTATTGTTAATTTGAAAAATATCTTTACTGCGCTAATATAGAGCAGGAGTTCTGACTTTAACAGTGCATATAAAAACTTAAGGGTATTGTAGAACACAAATCTGAGATAAGTCTGGTTAACCACACTGGTGTCGAACACACCAATAAGTATAGTGTGTATAATATATCATAGTTTATACACATCATATTACTATTAGTGTGTCCAGTATCTGTGGGGTTAGCATAAACTCAATATTTGTTTTAAACTTTTAATTGGCCTTATATAATGATCATTTATAGGTCAGACAGGGTTTGGTTTCCAATTCGGAAACTAGACCTGTTAAAACAGTTATCATTTGTAATTTAGAGATTAAATATTTCTAAGCAGAAAAAAATGAACTATAAATATTTTTCAACCTTTTCTGAGTTGTACAATTTTAGAGTATCTTCTGTCTGAAATCTGAACATAACTTGTTTTATGATAAATGTGTAAAACAATTCCTCATACTGGGGTAAAGTTTTTCTATATATAGTCCCAAAAACTACAGATAAAATCCTTGAGCACGTACAAGATACAAAAATATATATTTTACGTCCATTTTGCAAAACATACAACATAAGCTACAAAGACAAAACATGAGTATAATAACAGAGACCAAAATATTACAACATGGAAAAATAAAATAAAAACATGTATGTACATGTAGTATACTGTAAGCTCAGAAAAAGAGTTTATCACTTGGAAAGCACTTAATAGGCACATTGAACACGGTAAGCACATCAGCACATGGTAATTTAAGCACATTTAGAACATTTGCATACAGCACATAAAAAACAAAACCATAACATGGAAAGCTTATTAGCACATAGTAGGCACATTTGCACATTGTAAGCAAAATAAAGGAGTGCAATGGACATCTCCATGTTTCCTGGTTAATTTCTTCTTTATGGAAACAACCAGGGGAGAGTGATGTTCTGCTTCATCTTTTGTATTAATGAAAACCGTGAATATCTAAGTGCGTGTGTTTAAACTAATTTTGTTTTGTTTTTACTGGTACCTTTTTATGTACACATGTTTTACCACCTAAGGAATTAGATGTCTTAAGCCCCCATATGATGTGCTGTTATAAGTTGAATTTAATGTACATTTTGTTTATATTTAGTTCTGCTACCAAAGAGATTGACTTATTGAAATGTTTTTGAAACATTTTAATGAACTCCTCAGCTTTAATGCCTTATTTCTCACTATACAAGCTCATATTGCTATGCCTCCTATTTGTTTGAATATCATCTCTAAACATTATTGCTGGTGCAGAAATTATATGGTAACTATGTTCTATTTTAGGGGGGGAAAGCAATCAATATTACAACAGACAGGGATGGTTATTGATGGGAGAAAGGAGGATGAGAAATAGGAACTGTACCAACTCTCTCATACCTTTGAGGACTTCATGAACTTTTTCAAAAGGCTGCAAGAACTATACCAACAGTGACATGACATTTTGAAATCTGTCAGTTACTTTATAGAGGAGGAACCTCTGACTAAATCATTTTCTCTCAGACACATGAAAGCCGAGTCCACAGATCCTTCCATCAGCGAATAGTTCAAATGTAGTTCAAATGCTTTCCTCGCAAACTTTTCCTTAATGGAGAAGTCAGTGATCTTTACTTGGAACAGATTGAATCTGTGAATATTGATGCTGAAAGCCTGATGAATGTGATTGAACAGCCCCTACTTGATGCTGAAACCCTGATGAATGTGATTGAACACCCACTACTGACTAAGGGCACAAATGTTGGAAACAACGTTTGTTTTGATCAATATAACACTATGGGTGGTGGGAGCAAATTGGAAAAAAAATTAAAAGTATGTTTTTAAAGATAGAAATACTGGTCATGGCTTCCTTTTAGTTTTTGTCCAATGAATTAAAAGTCAACGCAAATGTTAAGTAGTAAAAGAAATGTAAGATCCCTGGTATACATTGTACTTTTAACAATGCTTATGATCAATATCAATAAAATAAAATAAAAGTTATAATATGTAACTTGATATTTGTTAACTTCGCTCGATTTTACTGTGTCCAACATTTGATATTAAATCTTGTGTGATATATGAGAGGGATAGCACACAAGATTGTATCAATGTCAATGAAAGCAATTATTTCTTAAGTTTTCAACCATATTTCTTGAAACTTCATTTCTAAATTTCATACATCAATTGTTCAAGACAGTTTTAAGGTCAATTTCATTCAGTCAAGGTGAAGGCTACAGCTTCACAACCTGTTCATGTACATGTGACAGAGAAATTGTCAGTGCATTCCTAACTAAGTATTCAAACCAAATTTTATAAACCTTGATCCATCATTCTCAACATTAAATCATGCACTACCTGTTTGCATATACACAAGCAACCTCAACTTTCAATAAGTCCTGTTGTCAACATTTGTTGCACAATGCTATCAGTTCTGAAACCAACAATCATGACAACTGTAATAACATAGTATGTGTTCTAGCTGGTACATTTGCAGTACTCTTTTGAAATGTATTTGAAATTAATATGTGCATCTTATTTCAAATGCTAGCCTATGAAGATGATAAAGCTGAACATATGCTATAAAGTTGTTGTTTTCTTTGTGAAGAATTTATGCAATGGAAATAGAGGGAAAATAATGTAACTCTCCTAATCTTGTGTGTGTGTGTGAGTATGTATGTTTATATTTTGTTTATCTTATTCAATATTGAAACATACAACAATGTATCATATTGAATTAGAGTGCTTTTTATATTATTTGTTCATGGGAACACAGATTCAAAATAGTTCCATTTTTCATAAGAAGAGACCTTTTCACTGCAGTGAATATGTAAAACACTTTATTTAAAAGTTTTTCAAAATTATTGAGAGACTTGTAAATTTATGGGTAGCAGTAATCCACTTGCTTATCCACAATTTAGTTTCGGCAAGTAAACATCCTTATAAATATTGTTCTGTAACAATATACACTGACTGATGCAAAATTGAAACTTGAACAAAATTCACACGTATTAAAAAGCATGCCAACCCTGGTCGATGTGCACACTTTACAAGATAACTTGCTTGAATATATATTGATCAATATACAAACTTAGACGATAAGTTCAAAGTTGAGTGAAATCCATGCCTAATTAATTAGCATACTGTACTCTGATTGGTCAATGGTTTTATGCCAAGTAACTTTGTTAGATAAGGCAAGGGTTGATATCTTATTCAACAACAAAGGCAAAGTTCAAAGATGTTCACAATCTGTGCATAATCTATTCAATGGTTTAAAATAATCAGGTATTGGTCAAAGGGGTAAATGCCAGTTTCAGTTTTTAATGTTCTATGAAATACATTGTATGGACAAAGGGAAGCAATTCCAAATTCCTATGCAAATTAATTATCCAAAGGTTTAAAATGATATATTCTAGAGGAAACTTGGTACCACTCTTCTGACAAACCTATAAAGATATACTGTACACACAAGAAGAATAACTTCACAGTGGTACACTTTTACATAAAACTTTGATTCATAACAAATTAACAGTAAATCCTTCTGTACAATATGATGGGAACTTCGTCTTTATTTTGTTCTCCATTCCAAAAATAATATATATATCTTTTGCCTTAGCTTTCAGTACTTTCAGTACTTTGATTAACTGATTACCTTGACCGATATTCAAAGGAATTTAATCTATTAAAACACTCAAAATAACTTATTAGAAAGAACCAAGAGGCCTAAAGAGTGGATATATAATCAGTTGCATGCTGACGATTTATGTAACATTTGAGAAAAGTAACGACTTTGACATATAATATATAATGACATCTATTCCAGAGTCAAAGGGGTTGAATCTGACAAAATGCTTAAATAAATCAAAAGGCCAAGAATCGTGATAGATGGCCGTCATTATAACAGAGAAATGGAGTTAGTGGGGTATACAGGAAATCAGCTTGTTCGTCTTTCTGCCTCTCCCTCTGAGTTGAATTCTTTTCAGGAGTTGATGCTGTTTTTGTACTTTTTTTGTCATTTCAAGTCTACTTGTACATGCTTGCATTAAGGTGGGAATGTTTATGAAAATGCCAGTGCAGTTGGTGGAAAACCAGAAGAAGTGTATGCCAATACAGATGATACTGCATCAAAACTTGAAGAAGTCAAGAAAAATGGTTCAAAAGATACCAGAAGAAAGGTGAGACATAACCTTATAAAGTTAAAGTCAATATTATAGCGATCACGTCTTTATCTCTCATTCCATGTGCTTCTTGATCCATCCAAATCTATTAAAATTCAAAACATTAGTGTAATTTTATAAACATGAATATTTAGTTACTTTGTCATGTTTTTCCTTGAAAACTATAGAGCACATGCTTGAACAAACTTTATATAATAGAAATAAGTTTGCACTTGTAATATATAATTAGTTTTATACACAATAATGAAAACAGTTTTACACAGGACCGTCTTTTAAGGCTTCACTGAGAAAATCTTTAAGTGATATTTTGTTAATTAAAAAAAAGGCCCAGAATAACATTATTCAGCCAGTAATAAATCCTTAAAAAAAAATTCAAAGTTTGTTCATAATCAAATGATTCAGAGATTGCCATGTATTGTATTAAGATACTTAAATAGTACAGAATATCAAATGTAACAAGTTTCTCTTTGATTCCCTTCAACATGCTTGCCCCCGGTAATACCCTTTCATGAGAGGATTGTAATGTCCAGCTTACAGTTAATGGAAATGTGTGTGCAATAATTACAGATTTATCATAGCTATTTAGCTATTTTTAGACTGAAGCCCTGGTACCAGTACCATACTTATTTTAGATTTGGTTATATTTTGGTTTATTTGGCACTTGGAGTGAATGAGCCAAAATAAAACACCAACATTTCAAAATGCCTTACTATATAAAGTAGGAAAATCCAGATATCAGCAGACTGTCTTCAAACTCACATTTTTAGCTCACCTGACCTAAAGGGCCAAGTGAGCATATGCCATGGTACAGCGTCCGTCGTCCGTCTGTCGGTCTGTCCGGCGTCAGTTCAGCATCAACTTTTACCTTGAACAACTTCTAAATAACCAGAAGCTCCAGGATAATGATATTTGGCTAGTAACATGCTGGGATGAAGGGCTACCAAGTTTGTTCAAATGAATGACATTGACATATATTCAAGGTCACAGACAGTTTTTTTTTATCTTAAAAAGATGTCAAACATATTCTTCAGAATAACATAAAGGCCCCAGGCTGATAATATTTGGCCAGTTACATGATGACATAAAGAGCTCTCAAACTTGTTCAAATGATGACCTTGACTTTTATTCGAAATGACAGGGGTCAAATATGCTCAAAACCTTTTAACAACTTCTTTTGAATAACCAAAAGGCCCAGGCTAATGATAATTTTTCAGTAACATGCTTGGATGAAGGGTTACCAACTTCGTTCAAATGAATGTCCTTGACTTAAATTCAAGGTCACAGAGGTCCAATATGTTTCAGATCTGCAAGTGTTTTCTTCTGAGTAATCAAAAGGCCCAGGCTGATGATATTAGGCCAGTAACATGCTTGGAAGAAGAGCTACCAAGTTTGTTCAAATAAATCACCTTGAATTATGTTCAAGGTCAAAGGGGTCAAATATTTTGAAAACATTTAAACAACTTCTTTTGAATCACTTGAAGGCCCATGATGATGATGTTTTGTCGGTAACATGCTGGTAAAGAGTGCTACCAAGTTTGCGCAAATGAATGACCTCAGCTTAAATTCTAGGTCACAGAAGTCAAATATGTTTTAAACCTGTTTAACAACTTCTGATGAATAACCAAAAGGTCCAAGATGATGACATCAGGCCATTAATTAACATGCCGATGAAGTGCTTCAAAGTTTGTTCAAATGAATGACCATGACTTACATGCAAGGTCACAGGGGTCAAATATGTTCAAAACCTAATAACGATTTCTGATAACGTCTCAGGGTGTTGATATGCTGGGATGAAGGGCTACCTAGTTCATTCAAATGAATGACCTTGGCATACACTCAAGGTCACAGGGGTCAAATATGTTTAAAACATTTAAACAACTTCTTTGAATAACCAAAAGATCCAGGATGATGATATTCGGCCAGTTACATGCTCAGATAAGACAATTTGAAGAATGCTCTAATGAATGACCTTCACCCATATTCCAGGTTATAGGGGTCAAATGTGTTGAAAACTTTTAAACAACTTCTACTGAATAACCAAAAAGCATAGGATGGTGATATTTTGCCTGTAGAATGATCAGATGATGAGCTATCAAGTTTGTTCATGTTGATGTTCTTGACCAACTTTACTTTCAAGTCACATATATGGCCAAATTTGTATAAACATTTATCTTTATATATATACAAAAGATCCAGGGTGGTGATATTTGGCAAGATATGAGATAGTCGGATAGAGTCAACAAAGTTTGAGAAGGAAAATGACCTCGATGTCAGGTTACAGGGACAAATATGTCAAACACTTTAAACAACCTCTTCTGAAGAACTAAAAAGCATAGAATAATATAATAATATTTGGCTGGAAGTTAAGCTTCAACGGATTGAGCCGACAAAGTTTGCGATTGATATATTGATATTTAATGAGAATAATTTGCTATGACTGGTGAGCGATACAGGCCCTCTGGACTTCTTGTATTAATAGTGTCACGTGTATACAGGTGTAAGTCACATTGCTAAACGGTAAATGTAAGTATAGCGGTAAGTGAACAGGTGAAACGTAATACAATACGTTGTATGGAATCTGATATGTTTTAGTGGATACTGTACCTCATTAACAAAGGCTATAGATGATTGAGCACAAAAAGCATGTTCACTTTCAGTTCTAGGCCATGCTATTTGCCTCACAAATATACCATTGGTTTCCACCACGTTGTTAGCTCACCTGGCCCGAAGTGCGGCGTCCGTCCGGCGTCCGGCGTCCGTCCGGCGTCAACTTTTTACTTTAAACAACTTCTTCTCAGTAACCAAAAGGCCGAGGGTGATGATATTTGGCAGAAGCATGCTTGGATGAAGGGCTACCAAGTTTGTTCAAATAAATGACCTTCATCAATTTTCAAGGTCACAGGGGTCAAATATGTTAAAATATTTAAACAACCTCTCCTGAATAACCAAGAGGCCTAGGATGATGATATTTGGCTAGTAACATGCTTGGATGAAGGGCTACCAAGATTGTTCAAATAAAGGACCTTGCCTTATATTCAAGGCCACAGGGGTCAAATATGTTAAAATCATTTAAACAACTTCTTTTGAATAACCAAAATGCCTAGGGTGATGATAGTTGGCCAGTAACATGCTGGGATGAAGGGCTACCAAGTTTGTTCAAATTAATGACCTTGACTTATATCCAAGGTCACAGGGGTCAAATATGTGAAAATCTTTAAACAAGTTCTTTTGAAAAACCAAGAGGCCTAGGGTGATAATATTCGGCCAGAGGCATGCTTGGATGAAAGGCTACCAAGTTTGTTCTAATAAATGACCTTCATCAATGTTCAAGGTCACAGGGGTCAAATATGTTAAAATCTTTAAACGACTTCTTCTGAATAACCAAGAGGCCTAGGATGATGATATTTTGCCAGTATCATGCTTGGATTAAGGGCTACCAAGTTTGTTCAAATAAATGACCTTCAACAATTTTCAAGGTCACAGGGGTCAAATATGTTAAAATATTTAAACAACCTCTCCTGAATAACCAAGAGGCCTAGGATGATGATATTTTGCCAGTATCATGCTTGGATTAAGGGCTACCAAGTTTGTTCAAATGAATTACCTTGCTTTATATTCAAGGTCACAGGGGTCAAATATGTTAAAATCCTTTAAGCAACTTCTTTTGAATAACCGAGAGGCCTAGGGTGATGATATTTGACCAGTAACATGCTTGGATAAAGGGCTACCTAGTTTGTTAAAATAAATGACCTTGACTTATATTCAACGTCACAAGGGTGAAATATATTAAAAACCTTTAAACGACTTCTGAATAACCGAGAGTCCTAGGGTGATGATATTTTGCCAGTTACATGCTCAAATGAAGGGCTACCAAGTTTGTTCAAAGAAATGACCTTGGTTTATATTCAAGGTCACTGGGGTCAAATATGTTTAAAACCTTTAAACAACTTCTTCAAAATAACAAAGAGGCTTAGGGTGATGATATTTGGCCAGTAACATGCTTGGATGAAGGGCTACCAAGTTTGTTCAAAGAAATGACCTTGGTTTATATTCAAGGTCTCTGGGGTCAAATATGTTAAAAACTTTTAAACGATTTCTTCTGAATAACCAAGAGGCCTAGGGTGATGATATTTTGCCAGTTACATGCTCAAATGAAGGGCTACCGAGTTTGTTCAAAGAAATGACCTTGGTTTATATTCAAGGTCACAGGGGGCAGATATGTTTAAAACCTTGAAGGGCACCCTAGTTCATTCAAATGAATGACCTTTGCCAAATTTTTCTGAATTACTTTAAACTTTAAGTCAAGATGCTGATATTTTGCGTGTAGCTTTATTTTAGTCCTCTTTTAAAGTTACAATTGTTATATTAATACCAGGTGAGCGATGCAGGCCCATTGGGCCTCTTGTTGTAGGTGGTTTTGAGATTCCTGCACTACCTTTGTATAGATATGAAATCTTCTTCATGATTCCCTTATGGTTCACCTAGTGAGGGACTTTCTTTTGTGGGACACCTGTCTAATCTTGAATCTTCTTTTCAGTGTTGGCTTCATTCCTTCCAGAGAGAAGCTAAATGTTTTCCAATCTCAGGATTTATTTTTCTTCTTGTTTTATTACTCTTGAACCATTTCAATACTGTTAAGAGCATTACACTTCCACCTCTAGAGAAGTTCAAGAAGGCCAGATATCTTGTTCTGAATTTAATCAGCAGGTCTTGTTGGTGCCCTTAATGCTCTGACAGATATAGTCCCTTTGATATTGGAAGGAGTTGTGAGGTCTGGAACAGGCCTCACATAGTATACTTGTTTGCCACTTCCCTGAACCATCAAATATCAACCACTGTCTCCTAGATTCGGAGGCTTTGGCAGTGGATGATCTGTCTCTCTGGATTGGGAGGAAATGCATGCTGGTTGGAAAGGTGCTACAAAGGTTACAGGAACATTTTAACAAGGAGAACATGTGTCTTGAAGACTTTAAGTACTTCGATTTTAAAATTATTTGGATGTTTCCAGTCAAGTTAACGCCACTACAAAGGAATAATATTTTGGTACCTTATTCTTTGCAGAAATTTCTTTTACAGTCTAATTAAAGTTTTTCTCTAAGAGGTATTTTGATCATAATATACATCTCCATTTGACTAATTTTAGAACAAAGATGGACTTGTCTATTTGGACTTGGAATTCCAGCAGCAGCCAGATGGAACCAGACAGGCAGTGATTCGTGGAATTGAAAACAGAAATGATTACTCAGAAGTTGATTTTGCAAAGTGTGCTGATCCGATGTCTGCTGAAGATGATGATGTAAATGTAGATGAGAAAAAAGAAGATAGCAAGAACTGATTATATTTAATGACATAGTAGGAATTTCCTAACTCACTTTAACTTCCGCAACGAAGTTAGGGGGGTATACTGGAATCAGCGTGTCTGTCCGTCTGTCTGTCCGTAGAAAAAGTTCGTCCGGACAACTCCTTCTTATGTAATGGTCCAATAACTACCACTTGTTATTGTCCATCCAGGTATTATTTTTTACATTCTGCCCTTTTTAGCTCACCTGGCCCGAAGGGTCACAGGGGTCAAATATGTTAAAAACTTGAAACAACTTCTTCTGAATAACCAAAATGCCCAGAGTAATGATGATTGGCCAGAAGCATGCTGGGATGAAGGGCTAGCAAGTGTGTTCAAATAAATGACCTTGACTCATATTCAAGGTCACAGGGGTCAAATATGTTCAAAACATTAAAACAACTTCATCTGAATAACCAAAATGCCTAGGGTGATGATAGTTGGCCAGTAACATTCTTGGATGAAGGGCTACCAAGTTTGTTCAAATAAATGGCCTTGACTTATATTCAAGGTCACAGGGGTCAAATATGTTCAAAATATTTAAACAACTTGTTCTAAATAACCAAAAGGCTCAGAATGATGATATTTAGTCAGTAGCATGCTGGGATCAAGGGCTACTATGTTTGTTTAAGTGAATGACTTTGACTTATATTCAAGGTCACAGGGGTCAAATTTGTTTAAAATCTTTAAACGAGCTCTCTTGAATAACCATGGGTCCTAGGATGTTGATACTTAGCAAGTTGCATCCTGAGATGAAAGGCTATAAAATTTGCCTGTAGCTTTATTTTAGATCACTTTTAAGGTTACAAGTGTGAGATTTATACCAGGTGAGCGATGCAGGCCCATTGGGCCTCTTGTTACAGTAAAGGTTTGTTATTGCTATTTCTCAGAAAGAACTGGAGGGATCTTTCCCAAATTTGATATGAAGGTTCCCCTTGGTCTGTATACGTAGTTGTGCATGTTTACTTTTGAGACTGTTCGTAGACAGGCCACCATCTTGAATTTTGGCAGTGAATGTTTGTTATCGCTATTATTTCTCAGGAAGTTTGGGAGGGATCTTTTTCAAATTTGATATGTTTGTTCCCCTTGGTCTGTTGTTGTACATGTTTACTTTTGAGACTGATGGTGTATACAAAATGGCCGATAGGCCGCCAACTTATATTTTGACAGTGAATGTTTGTTATCGCTATTTCTCATAAAATTCGGGAGGGATCTTTAAAATGGCCGACAGGTGGCCATTTTGTATTTTGACAGTGAATGTTTGTTATCGCTATTTCCCGGGAAGTTATGAAGGAATCTATCTCAAATTTGATATGTAGGTTCCCTTGGTCTGTAGTTGTGAATGTTTACTTTGGAGAGTGATCATAAAACAAGATGGCCACAGGAAGTACTTATGAGATTTTTCTGATATTGTAATGGTCGGATCTATTTTTTTTACATTTAAAGAACTGTACTAGTAAATATGTGAAATGGTGCATTAACTGTTTATGTGATTTGATTAAACAGATAAGAGAAAAGAAGAGAAAAGATCAAACTGACATAAACTAATAAAGATGGTACAATGGTGGGCCCCAAGATACTTCTGGGATATCTTGTTTTCTAAAATATTTTAAGGATCCTTTAGACAGCCTTTAATACGATTTGATATTCTTTTTGAATAAGTAGTTCAGAGCAATTAAAAAGAAAGAGAATTTTCTTGGTGCTCCTCATCTAAAATCAAGAAATCCTTAATTGTATGGCTTTATGACTAGTTGTTGTAGTTGACACATTATAGATGGTTAACTTTTTTAAATGGAAGTGTCTTCCAATATCTAAATCATGACAGTAAACTCATACATTGATAATGGCCACCAAATTTCCTTTGAATGTAAGTACATTCATAACTACATTTTTAGCTCATTTAGTCCAAATGACCGGTGAGCTTATGCCATGGCATTGGCGTCCCTCGTCTGTCAACTTTTCCTTGAAAACTCTACTTGTCCTTATAAAGCCTCAATGGTTTGTGATTACATTTGACCTGGGGCATTCTTTGGCAAAGGGTACTTAATTTTGTATAAATGGAGGATGTGGCCCCTATGGGTGCAGAGGCATAGGCCTAATAGGGAAAATTGAGGTAAAACTTTAAAATCCTTCTATTTCAGTACCTTTTTTAGGAATTTCAACCAATTTTGGAAAGGGGAGAGGAGCCTCAATTTTGTATAAATGGAGAGTGTGGTCCCCCTTGGGGCCGGGGGTAAATAGGGGGAACAAAGTGATGTTTAAAATCCCTATTCAGTACGAATGTAGGAATTTCAACCAAATTTTGTGAAGAGCATATTTTGCTAGTTTTTAGTATCAATCTGGCAAAATTGGCGACAAACTGGACTTATATGGCAAACATAATCCATCATCTGTGTTATGAATTATTTATTGATTTATCATCATTTATAAGTTAAAGTGAAGGGACTGATGAAGGTGTTCACCTTCACAGTCACTCTGTTGATAGCAATTTCATTGAAGGAAAATCTGACAGGTTTGCGTGAAAGGGTGATAACATGTTGAAAATGTTAATATTCATACAGTCACATGATATGATGTATTAAGAGAATAAAACAATTGTCATTTGGAGAGATGCTCAATGGTTAATAAAATGAAGATCTTGGAAGATCTCATTCCTAAATTCCATGATGAAATGAAAGTAACTGAGAACATTTTCACATAAATATATTTTTCTACATTGCATGTATATACGTTTTGTACTGTTATTTTATATTAATAATTATTGTTACATGTTTGATAAAAGAACATCAGGTGAGTTTCACTTATTTACACATGTTACTGTATATAATTCATATAGAAATCTTCATATACTTTTAAACATTTAATTTTCCATGATCGTATGTGATTAAAATCTCTTCAATTAATCTGCTGCATTTTGTCTTGTGCTGTTGTTATGTTCCTCATGTTGGTGGCTTGGTAATCCGAAAGGAAAAAAAGGGAAACACAGTCGCCAAAATGAGTGCTGTGTTATCAATCTTGACACAACTTAAGGTTTCATTGGGACAGACAGTGCAGCATTAATTCAAGAATAACCAGGATTTTTTGGAGGTTATACAGTATATACCAAAAACAAAACTGTGTGCACTTTTGTGCATAAACTGCGTTATCCCTTTTTATAAAATTTAAAAAGCCAGACAGCACTTTTTAATTCATAGTTAGTGAATACTTTTTTTTCCAGAAAAAAACAATTTGCACAAAACACAGCATTGCACAGTAGTTTCAGCGCCAAGCAAACATTGTGTTTTACAGTTGCTATGATTCTTATACTAAATCATTGAAGAAAACCCCATTTTTCTTGAACAATATATAACTCGAACACCAGAATACTTTTTGAAAGTAGCCTGCCCGACAGACTTGATAAAATATAACAAAGAAAGGGCGGTATTCTGCGAACTATGCTAAAATAAAAATAAAATGATTTTATAAAAATTAATAAATTTAAATACTTTAATTGAGACCTCCAATCTGTTCTCAATGGTATCCTCTACATAACTTTCTTTAGATTTTTCGCCTCTTCAATGCCCATGCCTCTTCCAGCATCATTCATTCATACACTGCAGACCTTGCCGTCATTGATGCACCTCCTGCACTCATAGAGTGCAAACCCAAATTTGCAATTCCACAGAAGTCCTTTAATCTGGACAGTATTGTTTCTCTTTCCCTGTAACTAATAGGTTTATTTTTAGCATACCTGGCCCGAAGGGATGTAGTGCTATAAATTTTCCTCATTAAAATTACCTTGACCTACTTTCAAGGTCACAGCGGTCAAATATGTGAAAAATTTCAAACAACAATATCCTAAGAACCATTTGAACTAGAGTCGTGATACTTTGGTAGGTAATGAAGAGCAGCAGTGCGAATATTTTTCTCAGTTACAGTTATGAGGTCAAAGATCAACTTTAAATGCTAGTCTGGGGTCAAATGTCAACTTTGATTAAAAGCTTTGAAATCTTCTTCTGAAGTTATATAAGGCCCAGGGTCATGATATTTAGACAGTAGGTACATGGGATGGAGTGCTATAAAGTTTCCTCATTAAAAGTGAACTAGACCTGCTTTGAAGGTCACAGTGGTCAAGTATGTTAAAAACGTCAAACAACAATATCCTAAAAACCATTTGAACTAGAGTCATGATACTTGGGTATGTTATGTAGACCAGCAGTGCAAATATTTTTCTCAATTACAGTAATGAGGTCAAATGTCAACTTTAAGTGCAAGCCAGGATCAAAGGTCAACATGGGTCAAAGGCTTTAACAATCTTCTTCTCAAGTTCCATAAGGCTCAGGATCATGATATTTGGCCAATAGGTACCTGGGATGGAGTGCTATAAAGTTTCCTCATTAAAATTACCTTGACTTACTTTCAAGGTCACAGGGGGGTCAAATATGTTAAAAACTTCAAACAACAATATCCTAAGAACCATTAAAACTAGAGTCATGATACTTGGGTATGTTATGTGGACCAGCTGTGTGAATTGTTTTCTTTATTACAGTAATGCGTTACTTCCTTCTGCAACCACGTGGCAATGCGGCCGGTGGGTTTCCAAGTTTCACTACAATTTAGTGAAATATTCAGTACCACATGACCCTGTCTACAACTCGTACTCGCTCTATATTCGAGCAAGCTACCTTATCACTAATCCTAAAGCCCTCCTCGAGATAACTCAACCACGTGGCAATGCGGCCGGTGGGTTTCCAAGTTTCACTACAATTTAGTGAAATATTCAGTACAACATGACCCTGTCTACAACTCGTACTCGCTCTATATTCGAGCAAGCTACCTTATCACTAATCCTAAAGCCCTCCTCGAGATAACTCAACCACGTGGCAATGCGGCCGGTGGGTTTCCAAGTTTCACTACAATTTAGTGAAATATTCAGTACAACATGACCCTGTCTACAACTCGTACTCGCTCTATATTCGAGCAAGCTACCTTATCACTAATCCTAAAGCCCTCCTCGAGATAACTCAACCACGTGGCAATGCGGCCGGTGGGTTTCCAAGTTTCACTACAATTTAGTGAAATATTCAGTACAACATGACCCTGTCTACAACTCGTACTCGCTCTATATTCGAGCAAGCTACCTTATCACTAATCCTAAAGCCCTCCTCGAGATAACTCAACCACGTGGCAATGCGGCCGGTGGGTTTC